TTGAAGCATTGTGTGTCGCTTACACTTCACTCAGACTTGGATTTGGGATATTCATCTAGCAGCTATCTCACAAAATCTGGTGAGATTTAGCAGAACGTGCTTTTCTGCCAGCTAAACAGAGAAATTTCTTTGCTTTTGATCCCCAGTGTATGTAGGTTGGTACTTGACTTGGGGATACCTTTGTATGGTATTCTGTTTGACTTCACTTGCAACTTTGGCTTTTAGCAGCTTCCAGAAAAATAATTATCAGCCTGCTAGGATCTAAGTGCCATCGCTCAAATATTTTCTGATATATTTGAGACCTTGACGTTATTCTGCATGTCTTCTCTTTTTCTTTTTCTTTTTTTGAGAGGACCTGTCATGAAAAGCATAGAGGGATGCATAACCGTGCAAAGGAGAAAAATTTTCAAAGCTTTTCTCTTTTTATATGTATATAGACAGAAAACTTGTATAATTCAGAACTGTTGACATCACTATGAAGTAGCTTGAGCTAGAGAAGTGCAGCCCAGCCTCTGGACAAAATCTGGCAATAGTAAAAAAAAGGCAAAAATAGAGGGGAATAAAAAGGAATTTTTACATGCCCCTGGACCCATCATTGGCAAATTTTTTTTAAAGAAACAAATTACAGTTTTGAATTTCTTGCAGAAAGTAGTTTTTTGAACTATGAAAATGGTGTTTCAGTAAAATGCTTGTGACTTTGCTGAAGAGCAGGTTAAATACATGGTATAATTATTTTAATCTTTTAAAACAAGTTTAACACTGTTTATAAAAAGTTTCAAGAAGCTTGCAGGGTTAAAATAATTTCTGTGTGATGCAACTGTTGGTGGCTTTCTGAATTCTGATCTTGTACTTTGAAAGAGATGCTACCCTGTGTGGGTTGCAAAGCATCACTTGCAGATTAAGAATAGAAGAGACATCAATTCTTTATTTCATTACTATGGTAACTGAAATGTGATCCAGTCTCATTGCCTTTGGCTGTATGTTCAAAGCAAAGCTTCTGAGATGGGTCCTCGGACTGCTTCCGTTCCTCTCAAACATTTAACACACAAACCTGCATCTCTTCTGCTTCTAATTGAAGATTATTTATTCTTTTTGCGGTGTAGAGATTACCTGGTGTGTACTTTGCAGTCCAAATTTTGCAGATTTTTGTCAAGGGAACAAACTGAGAAAAGCCATTAAATTATGACATCTCCTATTCTACTTCCAGGAACCCTTTACAGGTCTTTTCCTCTCATCTCACCTCTGTTGTGCTCCTTGCCACCCCTTCCCCCCTTAGCAAAGGGGGGAATGCTTTAGGATAAGGCAAGGGAGAAAAAAAAAGTCAAATACTACAATTCAGATTTTAAACTTTTTTTGCCCATTGACACCAATTGTTTCAGTAACTTGACCCAAATTGACAAGAAAGATAACAGACAAGTTTGCTAATCATAATGTGAGCTTTCTTCTACTTCCCCTCAGCTAAGAAAATATCCACAAGAAACACAGATACAGGACATAGGGTCTCATTGCAGTTAGGCTGCCAGAGATGGGACGTACATGTGTTCTATCAGAAACCTATTTAAAACAAACCTTTAGATGATGCAAATGTTCAGGCGCATGTATGTTGAAGTCCTCTGCGCTAGCATCATAAACATTCAGGTTTTTACATATCACCTTTGTAGTCAGATCTCATTACTACAATGCTTAGCAGTGTTTATATATTATAAGGCTAATTATTTACCAAGGGGAGTTTGGGGCATGGGTGAGGGCTAGCAAGAATCCATTTTTGCTGGGCTCTATCAGCTCAGGCATGTGACTTGCAGTAGGAATAACCATGGAAAAGCACGAGTGATGCACAGAGGGAAATGAGTATAACTCTACAATTCACTTCTTCTTAAGTTAGAGATGAATGTGCTTCTTCTCAGCTTCTTTCAAATATACTAAATTTACTGAAGAATCAATCTGTGTGTTAATTACTGTTTCTAGAACAATGGTATTGCATATATTCTTACAGGTATGAGGCCTCAGAAAGTACAACTTCACAATAAAATCCTGGCAAAGCTAATGTTTATGGTGTCCTCTGTAAAAGCTTTGTAACGTTTCCAGGCATGCTGCCCTACTCCTGTCTCCTGTGTCACATTCCTCGAAAAGAAGTGGCTTTGTAGAGTGCTCTCCATGTCCCTTCACCCATGCTAATTGGTCATTTTGGTCCTGGCTGAGGCTGTGTCCATGGAAATGGCACATCTTAGTAGGAGTAGCTATGTAGTAGAGCAGAACAGTTGGTGTTGAGCAACCATGGTGTGCATTAAATGTCTTTTGTGGTCTGCTTCAGACTGGCTCACCTGGTCCATTGGTCTCAATGTCCATTAGCAATGGAAATACATCACCTAGTCTTCCAGTTCAGTTTCCCCCACAAGAAGTCTAATTTATGCGCTCCCAAGATTACTCTGAAATTAAAATGGATGCATGGTAAATGGGAACTGGCAATGTTGCTTCAAAAGCATGCTCACAACCCAAGCTGAAACACTTACGTGAATGTAAACTGAGTGCTCCTGCAGCAAAAAAAAACATGTTTGATTTGCTTTCAGAGTGAACTACTCTGTGGTCTTAATATAGTAGAGCATTTAAATACTGTTCCATTGCTTCAAGGAGATCACATCGGTGGACACGTGCCAGGGTGTAACTGGCTGATGTCCTCTGATAAGGAACTTGCTTAAGAAAAGAAACAAGGTTTGATGGAGATTCACTTTAACTAGTGGTTACTGGTTGACTAGCTGATGGTTAGCGGAGAATCATTTACATTGTTCACAAGATCCAGCACTCTTAGTTCTCTTACTCATGTGCCAGTGATCTTAGCAACAAGTAAAGGAGGAAAGTCAGTCAAGTTGCCCAAAGAAAGAGTTTGGTTGCTTGCAAAACAAATAAACAAAAAATTCCAAAAGCTTTGAGATTGTCTACATTTTCCCTGCATCAAGATCCTGAATTTCAAAACTCCACTGAAGCCAAGAAATCATGGATGTATTGTTTGCACATATAAATGATTCTGACTGGCTGTTGTTTTTTTAGAAGGGGATGAGAAGCAACTACTGCAGACCTGAAACAATTTTAAGTGTTTTAGTTGGAGCAGTGTGTTTCATACAGCTCTCTAGAGCTTCTTTCTGTGCGGGAGTCACAACATATTGTGTAAATACAGCAAGGTGCATTTAAAATAATCATCACACTGGGTGGAGATGCTCCTTGTCCTGAACATGTCAGATAAGCAGTTCTCAACCAGTAGAAGCAAAAAGCTCCCCCCAGGTTAGTCATGTAGCTGGTATCATGCATAACTTAAGAAATCGTTTGCTGTATGTGTAAGTGAGCTTGATTTCCAGTCTGAAATACTAATGCACTGGTGGGACATGGGAATAGATTCTGTTGTGGCTATTTTCATGGCTCTATGAACTCTACTAATGTTTCCTGTAACTGAGACATCTCTGTTAAATTCCATAAACATTTTCTCTGTGAAAGACTCAAACTACATGAAGATGCTTTTATGGCTATGATTATTGTATTGGGTTGATCCTGACAAATTTGTTGGGACTAGAGAATTTCCTAATAGTTTTGGCATAGATCAGGTAATTTCATTTTGTTTTTTCTGTGGGAGTGTTTAAGTGTTTCTCCTCACCCTAGCTGTTAATATGATGCAGTAAGGTACTGAAACCTCCTGGAATCTGGGTTTATAATAGGGAAAAGGTACAGGAAAGGATTAAACATGTTTTGTACTTGCTGGCTAAACCCCATGATGTATTCTCATAGTTGTGGGCTCTGATTCATTACATTCAATCTGTAGCTGTGTTTCAATAGTAGCTAGCCTACTTGTGAGGCATGTACCTTCGTGTCTCGAGTCTGGGTGGTCTTACCATCTCATTACAGATCCGAAAAACAGAGATCCACTTAAAAATGAGACTGAGTGGACTTTAAGATGATAGGAAGCTTTTAATTGAGCTCAGGTAGTTTCTTAGCTATTACATTGTCTTTTGTATGATGCGCCTTAAATTGAGATATTCATACCATGTTTCGTGGCTATTGAGTTTTGGAGTTTTTTTTTCCAAATACGGGATATGAGCGTATGGTGACTGCACACTGCATGGTTTGCTCTGTGTATGCTCCCTGGCTCTGGCCTAAGAAATGAGGGTTTTCTTGTTTTATTCCTTTAGATGCAATGCTTAGTCGGAGGAAGGCAACCAAAGCAGCTTTAACATCCTTACTGCCTCCAATTTTTCATTTACGTGTTACTACATTAATAAAATAATGAAGCTGTGACTCTGAGAAAGGGGAGGCAGAGGTTACACAATTCTTGCTGTCTGTCTCATGGCACAGGAATCTGAGTCCCTAATCTGGCATCCTGCCTTACTATCACACCGCACCCCTTCAGCTCACACTCTACAACCACACAGACTGGAAATTATCTGAGTATACGGGGTCAAGTAAAGAATGTCTGTGACTAACCCTGATCAAACTCAAGGCATTGTTCTGACTGTCACCATGAAGGATATTACAAATAATCACATAAGTTCCCGCAGCATACAAATCAGAAATTCTCTGAGTTACTGTTTTTGTAGACTATACTAACACTCTTTGATCCTTAGTTCTTGTTTTGAATGACTAAACTTCAAGTTTGATCTGTCACATCATGATTTGAATGCAAATATAGGCAGAAGTTACTGTATGAAACATTGCAAATACTACTTAATAAAGCGTGGAATGTAGTAGGGTTATTTGCAAATGTTTTGTTGGCCTGGATATTAGGAGTGGTGTCAGTGCTGGTCTAATCATCTGCTACAAATCCTCCAAGTGAAAACAGGACAGTATTACCGATGTCTTGGTTAACCTAGGAATATGGACTTTGCTTTTTGACTCTATGAAAATATCTTACAGTGTATGAAATATCCTATGGACACTTAACTTTCACATTTATGACACGCATTAGTTTTGCCTTTTCAGTGACTCTCAGTTAGATGGTTTCTTTACCTTCCTTTCAGAAAAGACGAAGGCGGATTGACCGAAGCATGATTGGGGAGCCAACAAATTTCGTTCACACAGCTCATGTAGGATCAGGAGACCTGTTCAGTGGAATGAATTCGGTAAGCATGAGCGGATGAAGACTATTTCATCTTAGACAGAATACAGGAACACTGTGTATGTGTCAGTACACACGGGTAAAGCAATGAGTCTTTCAACTGTAAGAAAGAATCTCTATAAAACTGAATAACAACCTGTTAGCATTTTAATTCCAAGTCCTAAGCACCTGCATTCAAGGTTATGGAATATGATTTTTAAAATTCCTATTTTTATTGACAACACATAGTAGTTGCTGTATAAATCATACAGGCTATGTGTAGAATACTTTTAAAAAATTCATTCTGATGGCACATATGAACTGAAATAGAGGTATTTTTGAAAATATACTAGATTATTTTAGAGAAAACTTTTAGAAGTGCCTTATAATTGGCTATGTTGCTTACCTTAAATCCTTTAAGCCATTTTAAATATAGTTCATCTAAAACTCCAACTTACCTTGGTTTACAGTGCACACAAATATTTTTGGGTGTCCTTGTTGAGACCTTTCTACAGTTTGTAGACCTATTTGCAGTGTGAATTATTTCCAGAGCAAGCAATGATGTCATGGGCAAGGTTTTTGTGGCTTCCTGTAGATGGTAGGAGCAATAAATATTTTTCTTTCTCTGAAAGAGAAAAACAGAGGCTAAGATAAGATCCTGAAAAGCATCTTATGAGGATAGATTCGGTTTGTACAGCTTCGTATTTATGTGAAATATCAATCTGTTTTTTAGGTCAATAATAAGCAATCTAGAAAAGGGTTGTATTGTAGATAATGACAAGAAATATGTATTGATCTTAATGATCCTCTTTAAAGGAAAAAAGTGGTTTGAGATGAAAATAATGAAAAATGCTTCTTGACAAAAGAGAAGAAAGAGTTCTGTCAGAGTAATCAGAATAGAGAGCAAAGTTGTAAAGGAAAGAGACGGTTTTAATGTAGGTGAGTTTTTTTGCCGTTTCCAGTAGTTTACAGCTTATTGAGATCAGACAAAAACTTTTGTAACTCAGTACGTATTGGGGAAGGGCAAAGCTAGAAAATCTAAGATGACATTTTCCCAGAAACAACGTAATAGATGTAAAGTGATTTGTACTGAAACATCTGTAAGCAAGTTAAATGGGCAAACACAGCTTCAACACGATAAAATTAAGTTAACACTAATTACTTATTAATGCAATATATTACATTAATATTTAAAGCCATTATAAATTGAAATTATAAAGTCATGATCAAGTGAGCAGTTTATTTTTTTAAAGGATGGCTTTTTGCTTTTTAAATATTTGTTGTCCTTACTGTGAGAACCTTCCTCATTCTCACAGCTGAGCTGCCTCATGCGAGGTTTGTGGTGATTGCCTGAAGCTTTGCTCTTTCACCTCGGTCTTTTGCCCTGCTTGCCCTCACCTTTGCCTTGCATAATATCCAATTCATCTCCAGATAGTAGGTAGTCATTATTGTCTCTCTACATAGAGTTTTTAATGTTGAATGCTCCTAACTGCCTATCTGTTTCTCTTACTTTTTTTCATTTGATTAACGTGGTGTGTCAGTGGCCAGAGTGATTTTTCTGATCCCAGAAAGGATCTGTGTGCAAAAAACAATTATTTTTTTCTTCTCTCTCTTCAGAAGCACAATCTCTACTTTTTCACACTGCTTATTTTCCTGCCTCTTCTATAGTAATAATGCATCTGGTCTCCTTGTTCATTCTTCGCAGTATAAATTCCAAGATTACAGTGTTAACCTCCACATGTCTTTCTGCTGCTTAATGTCCTTTATAGTGTGGACATTTATACCCTTTGTGAACCTCCCTGTGCCTTCTCTCTTCTGAATACCTTAGGAGGACCTCCTGCAATTTCATTAGCTTTTCCCATATAAATTTGGTTCTTCATCCACTATCTGCTCTGTGCCTTTTTCATCAGCATTATTCTTCACTACATATCCTTAGGATTCTGAGTGACAGTAGTTTTCTGACTACTGGAATATTTTGCTTTTTTGTTTGCCTTCTCTGTGGAGCACCTCATTCCTTTGTCAAAGATATGCTTGAACAGTAGGAGCCCTCAGTGTACTGTTTCTTTCTCACTCCCATCATTGTCTTTCGTGTTTTACTTTCATATTCCATGGTGAAATCTCTCGCTTTCTTCTTCTGCTTCTGATTTCATGTATTCTGTCCTTTTCTTAGTTTTCCCTTGTTTTCTTTCTCAAGGACCATCTGTACTACTTCCTAATTCTAAAAGGGAAGGAATTAATAGGAAAGAAGGAAATTAATGAGGTATATAAGCAGCACAACAGATGTATGGTCTTTTAATTGGTGCAATCTTCTTCCCCTTCCAAAATCTTTAAATCCTTATGCTATCTAAATTAGACATAAGAGAGAAGAACTTTGCTGTCATGTATCATCAAAGGAAGGCGATGGCGTCTTTGGGCAAGAAAAAAATTAACTGCTTTTCATGGTGCTTTGTTTTTGTAGCTCAGACTGCCTCAAAGGGAGGATGCTTCAGAAAGAATACCACCTTATAAGCCTGCAGTTGTTCGATCTGCTTTTGCTCAGTATTTTTAACATTGTATGTCTCCTGTATAAGTTTTCACATATGCAATAACCACAGAACTGTTAATGCAGTCAAGTTTAATCTGCTGCATTCTCTTTGCTTTAAGTCTAACAGCCTCTGCATTTTAGGCTGGTAACTTCCTTGCCCACTAACACAAACATCTTTACATATGATTTGAGTACCAGAGAAATAATTCTAACCTTTGGAAGACATACTAAAAATTTACACTTTAGCCTTGCAATTTGTGTTGATTTGCTGTTCTCCAAAATTTTAAAGTCATGTAGACAAGTTGTCAGGCTGAAAGGTGACATGGCCTGGAGATGTTTTTTTAGCTCTTTTTCACTAGAGGCAGGGTTCATCCTGTTGTGCTTTAACCCCAGCCAGCAACTAAGCCCCATGCAGCCGCTTGCTTGCTCCCCCGCAGTGGGATGGGGGAGAGAATCAGAAGAGTAAAAGTGAGAAAGCTGATGGGTTGAGATGAAGACAGTTTAATAGGGAAAGCAAAAGCCGCTCACGCAAGCAAAGCAAAGCAAGGAATTCATTCACCACTTCCCATGGGCAGGCAGGTGCTCAGCCATCTCCAGGCAAGCAGGGCTCCATCACACATGATGGTTACTTGGGAAGACAAACGCCATCACTCCAAACATTCCCGCCTTCCTTCTTCTTTCCCCAGCTTTATATGCTGAGCATGACATGTTGTGGTCTGGGATAGACCTCTGGCCAGTTTGGGTCAGCTGTCCCGGCTGTGGCCCCTCCCAGCTTCTTGTGAACCTGGCAGAGCATGGGAAGCATCAGTGTGTCATCAACTTTATTCTCATACTAAATCCAAAACACAACACCATAGCAGCTACTGGGAAGAAAATTAACTCTGTCCCAGCTGAAACCAGGGCACATCCTCAAGTCATTCCTGTGAATACATTTACATGTAGATTAATTATTTTCTGAGGGAAAAAAGATTAAATTCTAATTCCTTTTGTTCCAATGAGCAACAGAAGTTGCTTGGTGAAGATGACCATCTTGGTGAAATGTGAAAGTTTTTAAACACCACCCCATGAATATAGCTGCACTTCTCCACACTTAGTTACTGAGTGTGTGATCTCTGATGTCTGACCCACTGGTGTATTGGCTCTGAACACTTTTCCCTGGAGAAAAATGCGACTATAACATTGGTCTGCTGCAGCTGTGTCACTTATTTGAACAAAGTGCCAAGGTAGAAAATGGTTTTACGTAGAGCTGCTTAAATACATAAAAATCAGATCTTTCGCGCAGCACTGCAATATGCCATACTGCTGAAGACAAAGATCCTAGAACAGGCTCTTTTCTTCACATTGGTTTGAGAAACTGTGTGTAAGAAAGAGTTATGCCAATTCATTTTGTGTGTGTGCATGTGTTTGGCTTTGCTGTGGAAAAGAATATACTTCTTTTGTCTTTGTAGACGGGGGAAATACCATGCAAGCTACTTGGAAATATTTCTCCAGTGCTGTTTCAATACAGCTTTCTAGAGATATTCGGAGATCTCTATGAAGGAACATACAAGTAGTAGTTGCAAATGGTGCCCTGCAGGCATAGGCTTTGCTGCAAGTTCAATTGCAGAGCTGTAGCCTTGAATGAATGTTATTTTGTGCTCATTTTATAGTTGTTACATATGCTCTGGGGTGCAGAGAGAAAAAGGCCAAGCCTTTAAGGTTGGAGTTGTCTTCCTGCAGGCACTTGGAGATGGTTTTGACTGATGCAACACAAGCTGGGAAGATCTATGGAATCCCTTCCTTTTTGTTGATAAAGGCAATGAAAACCATAGAGGCATGTGCATGTGCGTGTGTGTTCTTTCTTTATTTATTTGCATCAGGTTGAAAATACCTTCAAATAAGCTATTTCCAGGGAAGGTGAAGATTGAGTATGATTTAAACAATAAATACCATGCCATTTAAAGGAAAGCAGTATATGCTGTTATGTAAATAGATAAATCTAAAACCTTCCACAAACCAAAAGCTCCTTTTTGGCTTAGAAAGTAATTTTTTAATCATCTGAAGGTAGCCATACAGTGCAGATACTATGCAGATATTTTCTAAGTTGTCTATTATATTTTTAACGTAACGGTGTCAGCTTTTCTAGGTTATCATACTTGGCAAAGAACATCTCCCATATAACAGGATAAATTATAGCTTGTCAGATGGAGTGGAGTTGCATACCAGAAAGATAGTTGATTAAATTTTTTGAGTAATCAAGCGGGTCAGTGAAAGCCTGAATCAGCCAGTTTTCTTTGGGAGAGAGGAGAAACTTCTGCCTCAGCACCAGTTCTTCCATTTCTCCTGCTGAGCTGCCTGCAGAAGTGAAAATTCCGGCAAGCCTACGCTGCACATGTCCTCATGCAAAAGTAATGTAGCTTTAATGGTAAAGGAGCACTTGAAAACCAAATCTAAACAAGAAATAAAACTGGAAGCAAGAAGATGCCATAGCTCACTAACTGCCTTTCTTGTTTTTTTCTGCCCATCTTTCCCTTCTGTCTCCAGGTCAGCTCAATTCAGAACCAAATGCAGTCCAAGGGAGGCTATGGAGGTGGTATGTCTGCAAATGTTCAGATGCAGCTTGTAGATACAAAGGCAGGATAATCTTGGGGAAACCTTTCCAGTACGTATTGCACTCTGCTTTTTAGGCACTCTTAGAGTAGTATGAAGAACAATCATACTACTTCATAATTAGCTCCCTATAAATAGCTGTCTTTATGATGCCCAATTTTAAAATGCATTTCTGAGTAAAAAATTCAGAATCATGTAAGCATGTTAATTTTTTTACACAATGAACAAGAGATTGTCCTGACTGCATCAGTCTGTCTGTAAGCCTGTTTTATACCTAAGATGATATCGTAGGCAAATCTTTGCAAGTGAAGTTAGTTGTATAACAAATTTCAGAAGAATTTTGGGATGTGATTAGGGTACCTTCTTTGCAACAGTTACATCCATTTAAGAATGATGTGTATACTGTTCAGTCAATGAATAGCAATGTTACAGTAGGAAAATGGTTACTCGGAATGTTCAAAACAGTTTAATGTGTGTTTAATGTCTTCCAGGTTTATGTGAATTCCTGTATCTTCCTTCCTGTGTCCCCTCTTTTGCCTTGGTGACTGCTTTCTGTGCTCATGACGAGAGAAGCGATGACTCATTGTTCACCCTTTGTGATTACTCCAGTGAAAAGTTGCTGTTCTGCTCTGATGATGCCATTTATCAGATTGGTCCAACCGTGCCTTTCGGCGGCATGCACACATTGGCCTCTACCAGTATCATGGACATAGAGCTGTTTAGGTTTGTTTTTAGCTTTTTGTTTGTTTTAAGGCAAATTAAAGCACCAACCTTAGCTTCCCTCATCCCTCACAAATCCTAATGCACAACATTCTGTTGCTTTTTAGTCTTTAAATCTTTTCTCCACTCAAGTAATTTAGAAATGAGTGAGTTTCCAGTAATGTCTTCAATCATGTATTGTTCACACCCATTTCTGAAAGGTCTGGGACCTGCAAGCACAAATGATTGTTTCATAAAAAATCAGCAGAGTAGATGACTGCATGTTTTGTGAGGTTGCTTTGTATGGTGGCACGCTTGGTGCTAGAAGAAAAAAAAAATTGCTTACTGCAGACTGGTGAAAAATTTTGCTGTGGCACCAAGTCATGCCTGTTTCTGAAAAAGGACTTGTAACTTAGCTGCTTCAGAGTTATGTCTTTATTTTAGTTTTTATCCAACTGGTCTTGAAATAATAAAGAGAGAGCTTGCATTCATGAGGCATTTGTTGTAAATGTTCAGTATATTTATTTTGAAAGAGCTGACCTTGAGACTGTAAACCAGTGTAGTACCGTATCTAAGTGTTGTGGAAGCGCTTTAGTCTATTTGAAAAAGAAAAGCATCACTTTGGCTGCTTCTTTACAGTTTTTCTTAATTTTAGGCTGTATGGTCATTTCCAGTAGCAGCATGTCAGACTGCCTGCAATATTAGCTGAAAAGTTTAGTAGACCTCTCTAAGTAGTTGGCACTTTCTGTGTACTAAATATTTAGGGGCCATGGAAGTTGCTAAGAGCAACATACTAATCTGGCAGAACAAATGCCAATGAAAACAACTTACAGGGTGACTTTTTACTAAGTCAGTAAAACGCCTTTTGCTCAGGTTCCAAAGCATGTTTCTCTCACATGTTGTGAAATTGTATTTTAATATTGCACTGTTTTCAGATTATCTCTGTAAATGGTCCCTTCTTTTCCTCCTTGGTGGTGGTTTGAGAGAAGTCAATGATTTGAGTCCTGGTTGAGTCAAACTGTATGTGAAAAAACCCCATCCAAACAAATAAGGCATAACTGAGCCTAGTCGGATCCATTTTTATACATAAACACACGTGTTCATAAATACAGATTGCTGTCATAAATGATTCTGTATTCTTCTTCCATCCTTTCCCTGATTTCACGTTGCAACAGCTGTCAGGTTCATTTAAACATGTATGAACCTACCTGCTCTTCCCTCTCAGTTTGCAAACAACACACAAAATAGAGGGCCATGGAGGTAGTTTGCCTTCCCTAAGTCATATTCCAGTGGTAGGTGTCAGTTACCTGATCGAATAGTTCGAATTAGGCTGGATAGTCTTTACTGAAAAACGTACTGATTTGTGACAACAGAAGATCAAGATGTTCAATTGTCTGGGTGCATAAACATGGCAGTGCAGTGATATATTTTTTTTAGGTGTCAACATTTCCAGTGCCACTTTATGAATGAGTCTTAACTATACTATGATTACAAAATTATTTGAACTTTGTCATTGGTAATAGCGGCTTAAATTTGCTTGCCAAACCTATCTTGCACTTGTCAAAATGTTTTCAGCTCCATAGCCAAGAAAAAAAAATTGACATATTTTTATAACGGACATACTTCTTTTGTACATTGTGTTCATTCTTGAATAAAGTCAGTTCAGTGTTGGCTTGTAGATATTAAAAAGAAAGTATTGAGTTTGATTCAATAAATGTTTTCTTTCAGTTGGTGACCTATCTTTTTTCTTTTTCATAAGTTACATTTGCATTAGAAAAACACTTGCAGCCTACGGACAAATTTGTGGTGAAAATTCTCTGAAGAGTAACCTATTAGTGTCACTAAGTAATTTGCAGGCTTGAGCTTTTTTCATGCCACGTGACCCTTTTGTTGCCAAGTGGATTAAACCATAGTTTTATGGGCAGTTTTGTTGCATTGACTTAGCATGTATACCAGGGGCTTCTGCGGGGATCTTCAAGGGAAGGTTTCTTAAAAAATACCTTGAAAACCTACATATACAGGATTTCTTTTCTTTTGGCTGCAGCTGATATGTGTGTTACTTTCTTGATTGTGGTGTGATTACTGTGGTGATCAGCAGAAGACTTAATTGTACAACTAATCATTGTAATATGCATATCTGCATTAAATACACCTGCAAGGGACAATATTGTCTACTCTGTATTTAGCTCAAGTAATTTTTGTATTTGACACTCTCAAAGTTAATTCCTTAAGTACTCATTTACTAATTGAAACTTGATGATAAATTGTTTTAACGACTGATAATGAATTCTTTAGCTCATGGCAAGTCCTTGAAATTGCCAGTTCAGGAAAAAATATAGTTGTAAAGGGAAAAATCAAGGTAAAGCTATGAGAAACCTGCTAGAGGGCTCTTTTCTTTAACTGTTGAGGTTACGGAAGCTTAGTACTGTCTACAAAGGTGTGTGTCTTGAAGAGCAGATGTTTTAATATAACCATCTGTAAAAATAAAGGGGTTTGACCTCTTAAGGAAGGAGCCAGCCTGCTTACACTTAGTCTTTAATCTTTTTAGCTGCCTAAAACAGTTGTATGAGTCAATTCATCCCTTTTGTGCCTTTTTAAATTTTTAAGTGAGAAAGTGCTACTGCATTAGCAACGAAGTTGCTGAATATAGTCTTGGTCCCAAGTAGCACAGTACTCTGCCATGATTTGATATACCACCCTTTAGATCCAGAAAATAAACCTTTTGGGAAATCTTGCCCTGTCTACATAATGACACATTCTTACCAAGTACAATGCATGTTTCATCACAACACAATTATTCTGATTTCAGTATTAATACAGTTTCAGGGCAGTTAAATACAGTACTGATTTTCGAAGTCTGATTTTTAAAGCTATTCCCATTTTGCGTGTATGATGTGAATAGGGCCCCTTCCTAGAGAATGGAAAGTGATTTCTGAGCATTGTAAGAATTCTATGGATCATCAGCACTTTATTGTATTTCCTGATCTCCATCTTCTGTGAAGATCTCTATGCATGCCACTCAAAAGATTTCATTAATTGGCTGTACTTCCTCTCCTCATATGCCTTAAAAAAATAAAAAAGTACTATGTCCACTTCTGAAACTAGTAGGAAGCAGTATAGGGTTCACCAAAGAAAATTTATTAGGTTTTTATATTTGTGAAAACAGTTTAATGCAAGAGGCCTGCGTAGTACACATTCCCACAGATCAAAAGCTTTTGGTGAGGATTTCACACTGATTGTGATCCTGGATTTTGCAGTTTGGGAATGTTGCATTTATTTGAATTTCAGCAGTAAAATTCCCATTCCTTTTCCTGTATCCCTTTTTCTATGATCACAGCTAATCACAGAAGACTATGCACAATTATGCCTATTATTGTATTATGCACTATTTACTCTTTAGCATTTTCTTCTTCCATAAAAACAGTTGTTAACATGATAGAATGATGAAATCTGGACTAAATTGCAGATTTAGTGGTACAATGCAATTCCATGAACACAAAGAGTTACCATCAGGACACAAAACACTTTTAGATGTTTGCTGTTAGGTGATGAGGAGCAATCTCTGTGCATAGACACAATAAGTCAACACAACTAGAAGTTATCATGAACTTGAGCAAGCAATACTCTCCTAAGTGCAAGCCTTATTTCTTGAATCATCACTGTGAATGTAGGGCTTGGGCTAGATTCCTTGGAAATCAGCAAGACACATGACCAGACAAAACACAGTAAAACATCCTTCTCACACTTGGCAGGCGCCCTGCTGTATGCAGTAGTGGCAGATATCAAAACGGTACTTTGGTGAGCATATTTTAAAAGTTTATGTAACAGAGAAGAATTGCATGTGCTCTTCAGTGCTTCAGAAGAAGAAAACCCATTTACTTGCATGGTATTCATGGTGTGAAGCAAAGTGCTCACGCATGTACCTCATCATTTAACATTATTAAATCAGCTATCAATTATTTTAAAATGTGCACTACTCAATAAATAAACTGACAAATATTTAATTGTATTTAGCATCCCGAATAATAATGTAGTAGTCCTGACTGTAGATCCATATACAGTGGCTGTGACATTAAAGATTATTTAAAATGATGTCCTGCTTCTGCCAATGATTAGTAGAAGTACTTCAAAGGCATACCAGTAAAACTGATTGGGACTGGTCCCATCTACTTGCTGTCAGTGTCCATGCTAGCACTGACACTGATGTGGCTGCGCAGCTGACTGGATTGGGGACTGACCTATAGTAAAGGTCGTTTTTCTGGCCAAATTGGTTAGATTTTAACCTTGATCAGTTTCTGAATAGTTATCCAGAGTAAGCATGGGAGCGAGTGGCATAGGATCAGAAACAATCTGTTATGGGGAACATTGGTAGCTTAACCTGACTGTCAAAAAGCATCAAGCTTTCTGAATTAAAAAAAAAAAAACCAGAATATTACATCCAGCCTAGTGACAAGGCTTAGCCGCAGATGGGACTGTGAATGCGCCTACTGAAAAGCTACTTCCACTTTTGGGGAGCTCTATTTCCATTATTGGGCTCACCAGCTTTGCCCAGGGCGTTCTGTTTAGTTTGGGGGTGCAGAGCATGTTGAACACCTTGCCAAATGGTCAACTACATCATCACCAAGAGTCAGCCAACCTCAGGCAGCAGGATTCATTTCTGCCATCAGTGCTAATTCCATCCAACACCACCACACAAGGTGGGACTTTCTGCCTTCACACAAGCTAATAGAAATTACGAGCTTAGGCTTCAAACAGGCTTCCTATTAAGCCCAGAAATACAGTGCTGGTGGAGTTGGCAATAATTTGCTGAATACCGAGATCGCTTACTGAAATACGATGCAGAATGGCATAACCACATTTATGAATGATTGAGCTCTCAAGCAAAAGGCACATTCATTTGTTACAACATAGCTATTTAAGCGTTTATGGGAGCTTCTCATGGCATGGATTGTCTACAGCCAAATTTATCTTTTTTTTTCCTAAAATTTGCTGGTCTCTTTTTAGATACAAGACAGTAACAGACCCTGTTAACAGAAAATAAAAGTAGAGTGTTATGTTTGGTTCATCAGTTCTTTCAAGTGAAGTGGATGCTTCACTATTGGACTTGACTTGTAGCAGAAGACACTCTGGGTATGCCATGACAGGCATGGAGCACAGCCAGAGATCTGGTAGGTAACACTGAAATTGGCTTACTCTTGATTTGCCAACAGTTCAAGGTGGTGTTGGTGTGTGCAAGGTTTGTAAGAAGCTTTATCAGCCCAGCAGTGACTTTGAGGGTAGGAGATGTTTCAGCATGAAACAGTGAGCCACCCACTATGGATACATGTCATTTTTTCCTCAAAATGCTAAGCAGTAAGAAAGCTTCGTATATTGATGTCAGCATTCAGGGACTGTGGGCCTCCTACCTGTGCTCTGCATGCCAGAGTCATGGGCAATCGTTTCCCAGTAATGTGCTTTGTTTTGCCTATTCTGTGCCTTCAGTGCCATGAAGGGACTGTTGGCCTTTGGTTTGTTTTTAAAATCTCTCACCATTACATCAGCCTTTGTAGGTTATAACCAATTTGAAGTATCTGCCAGGTAGATAAAATAGAAACATACTTTGCATTTGTGCATTTCCTGGTAGGAAGCTCAGCTGAATGACTCCCTGTTGATGCAGCCATGGTGTGAGGAGGCCTCATGCAGCACACAGGAGCTGGGGTTTATCTTCTCCACCTGCTGTCACTCACCACGATGCCTCACCAAATGTTTGTGGTAGGGCTGTTATGCAAGTCCAGTTCTTAAAACATCACCTCTAGGAGGAAGATGAGTGTTACCTGGAATTGATTTTGAAGTCCTCAGATTTCATAAAATGTGGCAACATAGGGAAATGGCTATTCTGAAACAGTTTTCCTTAGGAAACCATCTTTAGAGTAGCAATAAAACATGCAAAGAATCATAATCCTTGGAGAAGAGTACACTTTCCAGGTGATTAATGCTAGCATACATTTTGGCACTCCACAGCTTTTTTCACTTGTCACAATTTCACCTACTGGAACTATAACAATCATCTCTTGTATGGTGCACGCATTAAGCAGCAGAGATAATGCATGGATGTGGGGGCATTGTGCAGCATTTCGATTCATGTTCATAAAGGAGAGGAACATTTTGGGAAGGTGGAAATAAGAAATTAACAATCACGTTTCAACAAGCAACACTCTGGGTTTGGAAGGATGGAGGACCGTGGAGAGGACAGACATTAATGGTGGGTGAGTGAAAAAAACGGAGGGTGAGTGAGGAAGGAGGGTAAACTTTGATAGGTGTCCAAGCACTGTACCCAGGCCAATTCCCCATGGTGCTCTTTTCAAGAAGGAGCTATTGGCAGCAGCCACAAAACCAGAGCCCAGTGCAGCAAGGCTTGTTCATTTTTCACTGTTTTAGGTAGTAGGTGCCAAGCCAATTACTCTTTCTGTATGTTGCAGCAGACATTTGGTTTCCAGCTGGCATAAGCAGGAGCTATCATAACGGGTTGGGTAGGAGCAGCCCAGGGGAACAGGGCTGCATGGTGAACTGAGCTGGGAAATGAGACTCTTTTTGACAATTTTCAAAGTCTGTATTAAATGTAAGCTATTTTTCTTAATGTGAACATACATAGGATGGTGTGATGGATGCCCACAGAGCACCACGTCTCTTAAAAAATCATTCAGAAGTCTGCTTCCAAACCCATTTGCTGAAGCTGGACAACATCAGG